TGTCGCCGCGGCCGGGGGTCAGGCGCGCGGAAGCGCTGTGCTCCCGCCAGCCCCGCTGGGCTCCCCTTTCCCTCGCGGTGCGTGCACCCCTGCTTCGTCCGGCCTTGCTGTTGGCAGGGTCTCGTCTAGCGGCCACAGGGGCTGCTCTCCGGGCAACAAGAGCTCTGCCCTTTGATACTTTCCCGCTACCACTGGACACAGCCTTGCTTAGTAGTGTCAAGCAGCCACAAGGGCGGGGAAAGACGAGCGAAGAGAAATCTTGTGGAGAATGCTGTTCTCCTAGCCTTCGACAAAAATCAGCCAGAGCTAAAGCTGTCCAAATACAAAGAAAAACAAGCAAAGCAAATTGGAGGAAAAATTAAACAGAAAACTTACATATTGCTATACACCAAAAACTAAGGAGGCAGCCTCTTGTCTTAAAAGACGACTTTAAAACAGTGCCCTGTACCATATAATATTATTTGATTTTAAGAGATGGTTTCTGCTAGCAAACCTTTGCTAATTGCTTAAAGTTTTCAATGCAACTGAATGGAATAAGGAACATCAAAAACAACTGAAGATTTGCCAGTTAATTTAGAGATTGACCTCAGTTTTGATTCTTAGAGCAAGACAGATGAAAAAATAGTGAACTATACAAGTCGGTCCTCACAGCAGTAAAACAGTCTAATTTGTCTGATCAAGAATTCTTCCTAAACAGTAAGCAGCTGGGATCACCAAATTCCTCTTATAACAAAGCAATGAAAGGATTCAGGTGTGCCAGGAAAAATGGGATGCACTGGAATAGGCTTGCTTCTCATAAAACCAAACAGAAAAGAGACAGAACCACTAAATCAAGTACAGTCCTCAAAATCGACATATTTCAGCAAATGTTGAAAGACTGAAATTGAACCAAGATGAGCCAGAAAAATAGAATGAATCTAGAATAGGATTGCTTCTCAGGATTGCTTCTGTAAACCTTACAGAAAAGAGATAAAACTGAGAAATTTGGGGTAGTGTTCTGTTTTGGCACAGCTTGCTTATAGTATGAAAATTAGAAGAAAATGTTATTGGAAATCAAATTAACTATAGCCCTTTTTTGTTAAAACATAGCAAATAAGAGTTTATAAAGATGAAGAAAAATTACACAATGGAATTCCCATTTTAAAAAATTTCTAGAAAAGAAATGGAAACATTTTAACAATCCCTTTAAGAAATCTGAAATAAAAATTAACTTCATAAAAATACTTTATTTTTTTAAATACAATCATTTAATTAAAGCATATACATTTTCTTTTACAAAAACAGAGGTAAGGACCTGAACATCACCAGGTAAATAGGCTAGTTGAATAAGTTTGTGGAATGGTCATAAAAGCAGTCCAGTATTCTCAGACTATGGTTTATTCCACACTACAGTCTCAGTCCTGCACCTGTGCTCATGCACAATAATTTGCAAGATCAGTGCTTTAAAAAAAAAAAAGCATTAGAGTTCTTCTTTTCTATATGCCAACTTCAAAAAATAAACTCACAAGCAAGCTATTGGTTAGACTAGCTACAGAAGATTAAAATATTTTACTAACTTAAAAGGGAGGGAAAAGTAAATATCTGATAGGGCCCCCCCCCTTCCCTATCCAAAATTTAAAAGGTACTGAAAATAAAGTAAGGGGGTAAAGTTAGGCCATCACTTTCAATTGTTAATACTACAGTCCTCACTCAGGCAAAAATGAAAAAATGCTGCAGTGTGATCATTTGTCATTCACCTTGTAGTTAAACTAATTCTCACTCTCTTTGTATAGTTCCTTGGTCTAGGTGTGTGGTTAGGACACAAAATTGTACAAGCATACATATTTGTAAGAAATAGAATATTCAGTGCAGATACCCAAGCACCCTTAATTTCAGAGAATTATCGTGTTACAAGAACTCATTCACTATTTGCCCCCTAGTCTGAGATAAACTTATACTGACCATTCAAATAGCATGCGTGTGGTTACCTCAGTTGTAGCTTGGAAAATAACTCCTTCATAAAGATCTTTGTAAATTAGACCATAGGACCTGAACAGAATCCATATAACATTTTCAAGGCCATTAAACAATTTTCTTTACTCTCTATGTACATTGTTAAGTAAAGAGCAGGAGAGGTACCTGATATTATTGGAGACAAGATTACATCAGTCTCATAACACTGGGACTGTTATCGTGCTTTTCTAAATTAAAACAAAAACCTGAACCTTTTGAATTACAACCTGTTTGTAAACAGAAAATAGCTTACACCCAGGACAATGCATCATAATATAATTTCAAAAGGCCCTTTTTTGAATGGTATACTAGATCACTTAAGCTTCAGCTGGTCACTCCAGTGATGCAAATGTAGCAGACACAAGGTTTGACTCAATACCTGACTCTCAATTCTATGTTGGAAAACTGCAGAGCTTCCAATAATGGATACAATTCTACCACTACTAACTGTTAGATTTCTTTTAGTTTGTTTCTTTAAAACATCAACATTGATACGTACTCCCAGGAAAAATTTTGTAGGAAGAGCAGAATTCTGAAGATGTAGCTACTGTAGCCTCATACTGTAATGAACAGAAGATAAGACTGACAAAAGAGATAACCTTAGAAAAGAACACAAAACAGCAGCTCACTCTGAGTTCTGGTACTAAAGGGGAAATCCAAGAACAGAAATTAATGTGACTTTAATATGTCTTCGAAAGATCCATAGGCCTATGAGACTGAGGGTTAAAAACATGAGTTCTTGGGGGAACCAAATATTATATATTCATTTATGTGCATCCATTATTCTTATAGCTTGTGGAAATGTTAAAAGGTGGGTAATTGGATAACAGTGTAACTTGTGAAAAATCTCAGCAGTTACAGAGTTACCTGCACCCACAGAGCAGGGCAGCAGCTGGCTATCCAGGAGTGGGGCGGGAGCCTGTGTGTAATCATGAACGTTAGCCAATAAGCCCAAGCTTATTGGCTAACCATTTACATGGTTACATTTTTACATTCTTGATAGCTTGTACTTACTGTTTTGTCTGTCAAAGTTACTAATTAGAAAATAGAACCATAGGTCATTCACACACTGTTAATTGAAGTAATACAGTGAGCCCTCGCTACTTTGCAGTTCGACCATCGCGGATTCACGACTTCGCGGACTTTTTTCTGTACATTAAAGGGTGGTTTGTTAACAGTACTACCGTATATTCCGGCTTTCAAAGCCTCGGGGGAAGCCGGCGGGGGGGGCATCCCAGGCGCGCCTGGGCTGCTCCCCCGCCGGAGCCCCTCCGCGGCTTTCAAAGCCTCGGGGGAAGCCGGCGGGGGGGGCATCCCAGGCGCGCCTGGGCTGCTCCCCGCCGGAGCCCCTCCGTGGCTTTCAAAGCCTACTTCGCGGATTTTCACCTATCGCGGTAGGGTTTGGAACCTATCTACCGCGATAAACGAGGGTTCACTGTATATGTACAGTATTATGGGGGCTAACAGCTTTCAAAGCCTGGGGGGAAGCCGGCGGGGGGGGCATCCCAGGCGCGCCTGGGCTGCTCCCCCGCCGGAGCCCCTCCGCGGCTTTCAAAGCCTACTTCGCGGATTTTCAGCTATCGCGGTTGGGTTTGGAACCTATCTACCGCGATAAACGAGGGTTCACTGTACTCCCTGACTGATGTATCCATTTTTTTATCGGTTGGTACTGTGGAAAACTTAAGCAGCAGTATCTTTGATTAAAAAACCCCCACAATAACAGTTCAAATGGTTGTGTGCATACGACTTTTTTCTTAATCATTAATGTATATTGTAACCTTTGGAACATTACTTATTATATCTGAATACAAGTGTGGATGTCATTGTCACTATATATTCAAACCACAGACCCTTTTTAAATTCCAATTTTTTTTTTAAATTAGAAAATAGAATAGTTCCCTCGGTTACTTTTTAAAAGACTGGGTAAGCTACAAACCTAGGCATTCTCAGAGGAGTAGCCGTGTTAGTTTGTAATTTTAAAAACAAAGCAGTCCTGTGGCACCTTAGGGACTAGCTCATGATATAGTATAGACATATCATAGGATTAGTTCCTCTGATATCCTAAATTACTTGTAGACCATTTCATGGGGCAGAACACTTCCAGTTGAGTTTGTAATTAAAACAGTACCAGCAGGGGAGAAGGTGAGCCCACACAGATGTTTAGCTAGTTATTTAGAAGACTGAAGCCTTGTGAAATTTTAGTATTTTCCTCCCACCACAGAACAGGTGAATTGATTAGGGTTCTAAAATAAAGCTGGCTATGCATTAAATGCCACCTCCTCATCACACCTAAATACACATATAGTGCCTAATAAATTGTAAAGAAAACTTGCATCAGGGCACTGTTGTTTGTAGATGTGAAAAATATACTAACAAAGATCTAAGCACTTAACTTGCTCAGTTACAGAAGAACGTGTTCTAGTACTGAGATTCTCAAGCAACTCTGACATGTGGTGAACCCTTATTAATTGATAGGACAACAGATTTTAGATAAAGCTGATTTACTAATTTCATGTGATGAGGGCAAAAAGAAAAAAAATACACACAGAACTCCTTGGTGCATCCAGTTAAGATGACACTCACAATAAATAGATCCAATAAAACATTCCTTTGTCTGCAGTCTTTTTGTCAATTGGTACTTAGAGCTTCAGTTTGTACTAAGGACCCTGTAAAACTTCACAAGAAGGGGTTCCTTAACAGTCAGATATTCTATTAATGTAATAGTAAATAATATGTTAATGAATTGATTTTTTTTTCTGCAATACCAGTCAGTACTTTTCTCAAAGTGTACATTTACACCGCCTTAACTTATAAATGTCAAGAACCAGAATATTCCATTTTTTTCCAATAAAATCAGGAGCAAGCACCTTGAAAATACAAGGGTGACAACATTTGCATCACAAACATATTAAGGACCTTATCATAATTATATTTATTTCAGTGGAAGCAAGAGCAGACATTGTTCAGGGTGAGAGTTGAATCTAGGTAAGAAGCACCTCCAGCCCCCAATGGAGCAAATGGGATTTGTGGAACTCACGTACTTATTGAGCTCAGATTATAATATACTCAACTTTAGTTAAAACCTTTATTTAAAAAGGGAATGTGAATTAATACAAAATAATTTAGTCCAGTGAATAATTTGTCTAGAATCTCAGTAACACTTTACTTTTAATAAACTCTACTATTCTTTATATCGTCCTTATGAGAGAAAAGGGGAGAAATGTTGGATTTCAATATCAGACTAGATAAGCACAAGACTGCTTGACTGTTCTGTCTGTTATAAATACACATATATGTTGCTATAATACAAAACCCATAAATGGCTGCTCTCCACTAGAAAAATAGAAGCAGTGTTTCCAGTGGGCAGATTTCTTCAGATGCTGGACTGTAAGTTACCTAGAAGCTTCAAACACTTTAAGGCTATTGGAAAGTAACTTCTAAAATCTTGCATCCGTTTTCATGCTCCAACATCAGAGGTTGTTGCTGAATATCTATAGGAATAAAGCTTGTTGTCTGCCCCTCCACTCAACAGCAGCTGTAATGGGGAAAAACAAGTTGTACTCATTATCAAACCAAGAAAATATCCACACAGTTTTTGTACCTGGGCAACATATATGAACTGAATAAATATTTTAAATAATTCCTTAGTCTGATTTTTCTCTCAGAAGAGTTAAATATCAGAAGTAACCAACGCTGGTGATGTGAACCCCACAGCCTGTTTTAAGTGGCTCAGAATCAGAAATGATACAGGCTTATAACTTACCATTCTATTAAAACCAATTAGGGGAAGGTAAAAGTTAAAATGTCTGAAGTGTTTACTGGTCTGCTACATCTTAGTCTAAGAGGAAGGGTCCCTAAAACTATGGAGTTAGGATCTCCAAAACTTGTGCTGTGCTTAGATACGTGCAGCTCCCCCCAGCCCCCCTCCCGTGCTCCTGCCCTTGCCACAAAGAAGTGGCAACACATCTTAGCCAGCTCTAATGCCACAGAGGAGAAAATGCTGCTTAGAGGAGCACAGGATTAACTTTCATCATAAGTTCCCATGCCCAGAAAAAGAAACATGCCACCGTGAGTGGCTATTTTGACTTCTATCCTTCCTTGTTTTTTTCTTCCTAATGCTTTGGTGCACAGCTTTCATGTAATCCCTCTGGAGAAGAGGGTGATGGCCATCTGGTACTGAATAGCCACTTTCCTCCTATAGCGTCTACCCTAATCCCTCTCTGTATATAATGAAGGCCTTCTAATCTCCTCCATGCCACACAACAAAAGGGAGAATATGATCCACATACACAAATAGAAGACATCCAAAAGTAAAAAATTAATTGTTCTCTAGTTTAGAAGTAAATATCAAAACATACCATCATCAGCCCCCTTTCCCATCCAAAACGCACACATTCGGGGGGGGAAAAAAAATCTGTTACTAAAGTTCTTACCCCTGCTTCTGTCCATTCCACACACAAGACCTTGTCTTCATGAGCAGCCAAATCATAGAGAGGAGCCTTGCAACTGATAAGATACACATTTAGTCATAAACCTTAAAATTAGGTAAAAATATTATACAATTTTTCACTCCTAGAAGATTCTGGGTTTGATCAATTTATAATCTTTTAACATTTAGAAACCATATAGAGATAGAGAACAGAATTAAGCCATATCTGAATTCGTTGATTACGAAGAGCTGCATAACAGCTGTTCTTACTTACAGTATATATTTCTATAAACCTATGCCTACACTAGGTATACAGATCATTGTAACTAGACAGTGGTGCAGGAGGTCTACACAAGACATATTCTCTTTTATCCCACATGCATTATATTATACCACCAGAAAGTTGCATTTCCTCTGGAATAGTGGTTTTTTGAAAAATTTTGAAGGGCTTTCTGGAAGCCTAGAGGAATTGTGGATTAAGAAGAGGTCAAGCTTTGAATAGCGATGCCATTTCCTACACCTTTCCGCCAAATGAAAACCTAGGGTGAACATTTAGCTCTCATTTCTGATTCAGTAAGAAAGTCTCATCAGAATCCTATTGATGAGTAGTTGCAAAGCAGCCAGGGCAAGGCCATGGAGGATGTTCTGTGTGCACCTCAAGAACAGAAGCAGAGCTAATTAGCTACTGGCAAAACCTTTAGTGTCACCATCTTAGAGTGGCTAGTTCTTATACAGTATCTGAGGATTATATTCAATCAAGGAATGTAATCCTGACCAGGATCATGGACTGGTGAGAGAGAAAGTTATTCAAGGTGTGGCACCAGGAGCAGTAGCTGCATAACTCAGAATGGAGGAAACAATTCTCTGTATTTCTGTGATGAGCTAGCTTTAAACACTGCAGCACTAAACCAAGAGGATGAAAGCTCTGATTAGTATGAAAAAAAAAAAAGAGTGATGATTCCTCTGGGGCCACTGACTACTCCAGATGGTTACAGATGAGTGGGACATGTGTGTGTTTGAGAAGTGTTGTGGAAACCGTTATGGAGGAATATATGATAACACAAACATATTTAAAAGATTTTTATTAAAGCTAATGTTTGAAATCGGTGCACAGATTTAGCTGAAAGGCTCTGTGCAACTGGGGTTATGCTTGGATTATCCAAAAAAAAAAAATCTTTTAGAAAGTAATGAGCTACGTACCATACATAACCAGCATTGACCTAGATTTACATGTGCAAGTTTTTAGGTAGCAGGGAAGTTTTACAGAAGTAGTTGTGATAAGTGGATAGGTATATGGATGGGGGATTATCCCTCAGCTCTTTCGGGAAGATATACTGTACTAAGAAAAAATCTACAAGTCTATGAAGTCCAAGACATCTAGCCAAGCAGTTACTACCCATTTCAAGTCAAATGTAGTTTGACCTAGACCAGTGGCTCTCAACCTTTTTAGACTTGCCTATAGCTTCAGGAATCTGATATGTCTGGCAAGTTTCACCTCACTTACAAAATCAGTGTCACAACATACTATTCCTGAAACTTTTCTTACTTTCTCATTTTTAACTTATACAATAAATAGATTGGAATATAAATATTATACTTACATTTCAGTGTATCATACATAGAGCAGTCTATACAAGTCTTTGCCCTTATGAAATTTTAGTTTACACTGACTTTGCTAGAGCTTTTTATGTAACCTGTTGTAAAATATTTACCCCTGTAATACACTTCTGTGTATCCCCAGAAGTACATATACCCAGAGCCCTGCAAATCTGCAGATACTGCTTAATATCTGCATCTGTGGATATGGATACAAATTTTGTATCTAGAACCATGCAAATTAGCAGATATCCATATTATATCCAGTTACCTGCAGATGTGGATGCAGATATCTGCAGCTCATTTTTGCAAATACAGATGTGTGCAGGGCTCTACATATACCCCAAGTTGAGAACCACTGACCCAGTCGTCTCGCTTTTGCAAATACCTGGTTCAGATACAAACTACTCCTCTCTTTGCAGCTGTTTATTATGAAACATCCACAAATGGGGAGCAAATTAAAATACGCATGTTAAGCTTCTTCTGGAAGACCGAGTATATTCTACTCCTAAAAATCTTGATATCATAACTATGATTTAAAAAAATTAAACTCATTAGCAATATTACTAATGGAACCTCTTTCCATGATATCCCACTCTATACAGTATTGCCAGAAAATATTGGGTGGGAAGGTCAATGAGGCTGATTTCAGTGTCATGCCACAGAGTGTCTGGCAGAAGGCAAATGCATTTCTTGCTCTTCTATTATATGTGTCTAATCTCCATAGGGAATTCAGCTGGAGTCTCCACTTAGCTTCATTTTTTTGTGTCACTAGACGACGTGAAATTCCAAATGCTACCTCTGAATATTAAAGAATGGTATTTACCTCCGTGTGTCCCAAATCTTGACAACATTGTCTAGAGAACCAGAGATTAGCTGTTGATCATGTGTGGGGGACCACTTCACAGATGTCACCCAGCCAGTGTGAGAGGTCAAAGAGAGGAGTACCAAGGAACCATCTGGGACAGAGAAAATGAAAGACCATTATCCTAATTTACAGACACGTATATCAGGTCAGTTTAAGATATTTATAAAATATGCCAGTTTACAAGAAGCAGTCAAGACTAATATATGTGGCAGCAGGGTAGTTCTTCCTTCTCATCATGTCATAAGATTGTTTCAGGCAGCATGAGAGTATGCACAAAAGTTCCTGTAGAGAGGACAAAAATCTAACCACCTCTTATTGTTACCAAATGCTTTTAAAGAGTTTCTCTAATGGGGACGACAGAATGGCTCTAGGGAGCATTCTGTAATGGGTAATGGGACATGGAGCCTTTTGTCTCTAGATTATTGATTCAAATCTGGCCTGATTTGTAGAGACTTTAAAACAAAACAAAAACAAAAAACAAAAAAAAAAAAAGATTCCTGTCTGGCTTATGTGTGGTTGTCTCAGATAGTACCATGGACTGCAATGATTGGGAGCCACTGCAGATGTGCAAGAAGTCCAAAGATTGATCAGATATTTAATCAGCTACATTTTCACTTCTATAGATTGTTTCTATAGTCAAGGTTTAGACACCCTGGCATTTAATCCATTTAACAGTGGATTAAATGAATGGGTGTGCCTCAAAAAGGCAAAAAGCAATAGTACTCAGAATAGCCAATTCAATGAGCTACTGCTGCGATCAGTTGCAACAAGATTCAGAGAGCAAGGGGGGGGGAACGAGGGTCACTTTACTCAGTCAGGTGAGCAGGTTTGCAATGCAGTGTAGAGAGGATCCAGGTTAATTCACCTTTTCCTCTCTCCACTGCACCTGTTAATTTTTGGCTAAAATGGTCTCGCTCCCTGTGATGGAGCGTATTTGCCCCGCACTGTTCAAGAGGGGGTTAACTCAGCCCAGAGGATAGGGGAAGTCACATCCCCTTTAGCTTACTGGATGTGCTCCGGCTGCACTAGTATAAGAGAGAGCTGCTCAGCTCAATTGGGGCAGGTGGGCAGGGAAGAAGGAGCAGCCTTGGCAGCTGCAGCCTCAGCGACAGCCCCGGTCAGTGAGGCTGTTTGGGAGGCACCAGTTCACCGATCAGCACTCCTGGGAACACACTGCATGTGGAGAACGGTAGGGTGGAGGACTGGCCCCCAGGAGCTCAGCATGCTTCAGCTGGAACCCCCACTGAGCAGGCAGTGTACACCATCACTGCCAACAGGGCCCTGGGCTGGTATTCGGTGAAGTGGTAGGGCCCGGGTCCCACTACCTTCCACCCTCACCAGGACAACCCTGCTCCCCGGCTCATCCAGAGGGAGGGGTATACCTGTGAGCACAGCCAGCAAAGCCCTTCATACCTTGAAAGAAGGGAAGTGTGTTTGGGACTAGGCCTGAGAGGCCATATTTAACCTAGTATATGTGAACTAGATTTTGGGACGAAGCCATAGTTACCATATTTACCCTAATAGGGGTGAACTAGACTTTGGGACTAGGCCCAGGAGGCAGAACCTGCCCTAACTGAGGAGTGGCACTTTGGGATGATAGGCAAGGGGTGCCCCGGGCACTAGAACGCCCCTTGATACTCCCCAGATCGAAATGCTGTTACAGTCAAATAACAAAGCTTGTGTGTGCCTCATGAAATGTATATACTCCCTTCTCTCAACACACATTATGAATCTGAGAAGTCATATGTGTTATACACACTTTGTTTTGCTCACCTTTAGTGCGGGGATCCCATAATCTAATGTGTCTGTCAGTGCTACCAGATGCTAGACGTCGACACAGTTGTGAGTAGGAAATAGAGTTAAACACTTTGTTTCCGGTCTGCATAAGAAAAGTTGTCATAAATTAGGAACTACTCTTAACTCATATAGAAGTTTTAAATTCAAACTGAACTGGGTTGGTCCTGGGGCCGGTTTTGTTCAACATCTTCATTAATGATCTGGATGATGTTTGTGGATGACACTAAGCTGGAGGGTAAGATAGTTACGCTGGAGGATAGGCATGGGGTCCAGGGTGACCTAGCCAAATTGGAGGACTGGGCCAAAAGAAATCAGAGTCCTGCACTTGGGATAGAAGAATCCCATTCACTGCAAGGGTGTGTCTAAACTACATGGCTCCATCGATGGAGCCATGTAGATTAGGCTGATTGGCAAAGGGAAATGAAGCCGCGATTTAAATTTAAATGGCTGCCGCGCTGAGCCGACAAACAGCTGATCAGCTGTTTGTCGGCTCAGCGCGCTAGTCTGGACGCTCCTGCGCCAACCTGAAAGCCCTTTATCGACCTCCCCGTTATGCCTCGTAGGATGAGGTTTATCAGGGAGGTCGATAAAGGGCTTTCATGTTAGCAAGGGAACGTCCAGACTGTCCCGATCTGCCGACAAACAGCTGATCGGCAGAGTGGGGCAGCCATTTAAATTTAAATGAAGCCGCGATTATTTAAATCGCGGCTTCATTTCCCTTTGCCGAACAAAGAAATCTACATGGCTCCGTCGACGGAGCCATGTAGTTTAGACGTACCCCAACTGATTGGGAACTGACTGGCTAAGCAGCAGTTCTGCAAGACGGACCTGGGGATTAAAGTAGACAAGAAGCTGGATATGAGTCAGTGTATCTTTGTTGCCCAGAAGGCTAAAGGCATATTGGGCTGCATTAGTAGGAGCACTGCCAGCAGAATGAGAGAAGTGATTATTCCCCTCTATTTGGCACTGGTGAGTGAGGCCACATCTGAAGTATTGCATCCAGTTTTAGACCTCTTCCCCATCCCCACTACAGAAAAGATGTGGACAAACTGGAGAGTCCAGCAGAGTGAAATAAAATTATTAGGAGGCTGGGGCGTGTAATTTATGACCAGAGGCTAAGGGAACTGGGCTTATTTAGTCTGCAAAAGAGAAGAGAGAGGGAGGTTTTGGGACCAGCCTTCAACTACCTGAAGGGGGTCTCCAAAGAATGGAGCCATGCTATTCAGTGATGACAGATGACAGAACAAGCAGCAATGGTCTTAAGTTTCAGTGTGGGAGGTCTAGGTTGGATATTAGGGAAAACTATTTCCCTAGGAGGGTAGTGAAGCACTAGAATGGGTTGCCTAGGGAGGTGGTGGAATCTCCATCCTTAGGCCAGGCTTGACAAAACCCTGGCTTGGATGATTTAGTTGGGTTTAGATTCGCTTTGGGCAGGGGGTTAGACTCGATGACCTCCTGAAGTCCTTTTCAACCCTAATCTTCTATAATTCAGTGAGGAATCTGACAAAAAAAGCTTTAACGGACAACATGTAAAGAAATCTCACCAAAGTTGATTTGAGACCTCCTGTCTCAACATCCCATATTTTAATTGTGTGGTCCCATGATGCACTACAAATTTCTTCAGCATCTGACCAGAGCACAGAGGAGACTGCTTCCGTATGGCCAGAAAAAGTTGCAACAGGAGTCTAGAAATTAAATAAAATATTAAGATCAGAAAAATAGTGGATTAGTTATAGTAGGGGGAAAAATAATATGTCAACTAATAAACATCTTGATATGTAGATTAAATTTCAGATTTCATCAGAAATGTTCCTACTTATATTTATCAAAGAGAAAAATATTCTCCATTTCCATGCTTTTCAGGTTCTACACAAATCCTGACTTACCCTTGTTAGTCCAAGCTGTTCTATTTTCTGCTTCTTCCTTGGTCTGTTTGCAGCTTCCTCCATTTCATCCTCTTCATCTGTAGGCACTACGATGGAAAGCAAGTCAAATTTGATTTAGAAAGGCCTGGGATGCATTCCCAGCTATACACTTGATCAATATTATTATCCCCATTTTACACCTGAGGAATTCAGCCACAGAGAAATTAATTCAGATCTTCCACGTCCCAGATGAATTTTTCATCTACAAAAGCATCCTTCCTCCATGGGTTTAAAAAAAACCACACACACACACACACACACACACACACACACACACACACACACAAAATAAATCCATACTATGGTTTATACACACTCATTCTAGATTTTAGATATAAACATTTATTCACATAAAAATATAAATGGATATCTTGAAAGGACACATTCAACTGGCTAAAGAAAAACTGTGGTTATTTTAAGTAACCTATTCAGAATCAATTTAGTCAGCATATTGTCCCTTCAGTCACAATGCCAATGAAAGAAGATTAGAGAAAGAGTTCACAACTACAAAATGTACAAGCCTACTGAATGCTAAACATCTGTAAATGGTATTTGGAAAAAAGATATCCAGTTGGCAGCCATACTTGAAATCTAAATGCACAAGTTAAAAACAACAAATGGTCTGGTAGCACTTTATAGACTAACAAAATATGTAGATGGTACCATGAGCTTTTATTGGCAACGCCCACCATCTACATGTTTTGTTAGTCTATAAAGTGCAACCAGATCATTTGTTGTTTTTTTTCTATACAGATTAACTCAGCTACCCCTTGAAGCTTCTGCATAAGTTAAGTTTGGGCTACAACCCTGTAATGACATCTGAGCAGAGGTCTGCCACATGAGATCTGTGCAGATTGGGGGACTTAATCGGTTTTAAGTAAACACAGTGTCCATTTCTGCAGAAAAATCAGAAGTTAATTGTCAAAACTGAATTTTCTAACACAACCTTGGTGTAGTTATTTCTGCATCATAATAAGTGACTATAGTGAGGTGTGGCCTCCCTGTAAGATTGATGGGGAGGGGCCACTCCCCAACCTCTGGTGGGTGAAGCCAGGCAAGCTACACCCCCACAGGAAGCAAAGGGGTGGGACAGGAAGTTTAAAAGTTAGACCCTACAGCTCAGTTGGGCAAGAAGTGAGCAGAGGACTCCTTACTGTTGTCAAGTCCTGTACCAGAGTAAAAACTCTAAAGTGCTGAGGACCTTGAGGAACTACTGGAACTGCTGCTGGCCATGTACCCCAGAGAGACAGAGCCACCCCAAAAAATGGAGGTAGAAGCCAGGAGGGGTAGCCCAGGGGCACTAGACATTAGTCTAGTTTGGGGGCCGAGTTCTATGTCAGTGTGTTTCTGTGATGCAGTGATGGAGGGTTCCGTCAGTCATGGACCACGACTGGGACCCAGTGGAGTAGGATGAGCCTGGACTACTTCACTCCCTGAAATGAGCTGCATGCCTGGAATTGGCAGCCTCCACAGCTTAGGCTGGATGGCCTGAGGCTGCTTATTGCTCTGCCCCAGCCAGAGGGCCAGAACTGCTGAGACTGCTAATTCCCCTACTGAGCATTGCATTTTATACACACACCATAGCGAGGAGGCATGGCTACAAACCACTAGTGACAAATAATAAAAGTATGTACATGCTTAACTTTACCACCACAAATAGCCTCATGAATTTCAATGGGACCACTCACACTAGTGATAAAGTTATGCATGTATTTGTTTGTCTTAGCTTTTATATAGAGCTCTAGACCTTCATAGCACTTTGCAGATGCTAATAAATCCCTACCACAACTTTTGAAAGGCAATTATATTTAAGGAAAACCCCACAAGAATACATTACTCTCAAAAACTGAAAAAGTAGTAACGCTTCAAAACAGTTTCCGGTGTAACTGAAAAGAAAATATATACAACTTCAAAGATACAATACCCATTTTGAAGGTTAAAAATGTATTCAGAAGTTTGTCGTTCCAGGTAACTACATTTTAAAATTCTAAAATTAGAGCCAAAACCCCCAAGAAAGTATTTCTATAATATTCATCTTACCTGCAGACCATATCTTTAACATCTTATCCCAGGATCCACTGCAAAACTAGATAAACAGAAACTTTCATTTAAAAAATTATGTGAACTAGCTGGATTTTTACATAAGTCATAGAAAGTCATATTTTTGCTAAAAATGTTGCCTCTGCTACCAAGATAATCTTTGTATGCAATATTAAAGGTTCTGTGTCTTTTCTTTTCAACACAACCCATTACTTCTATTACATCAAATACAAGTCTATTACTAATTGCTTTGGTATCCCCAATTAATACATGAGCTTATATAAATAGTATGCACTTACAATTCTTGACAATGTATGACCAATTCACATGCCAAGGACAAAAATTTGATTTTTTTTTAAACAAGGCATACAAAATCCATAACTCATTAGTTTATCATAGACCTCCATCTGCAAGTAACTCACTTTAGTTCTTGTGCAGTCAACTGCTATAGAGTCCACACTTCCAGCATGTCCTCTGCAGCAGTGAAGGGCTTTCACTTTGTTTCTCTCTACATTCCACTCCCACAAGAGGATAGTCTGATCCAGAGAAGCACTGAGTAGCAGGCATGACAAACTATCTAAGTAAAGAAGAAAGTGTCAACATACAAATCTACTTAAGGAAGTCTTTCTAAAAATCCTTTTAGAGAAAACAGGATTAAGATTTTTTAAATGTACACACTGATCCAATACAAATAAAGAGATTAATGTAAATCACAAATTTAAATGTATAGTATACTAATAAAAAATAATGTAATTTAATTTAGAATATTTAAATAGTTATTGGAAAATACTATAGTTTGTTTTAATAGTATGTTATGAGGGATTTTACTCAATTATTTCATGTCTATTTAAGTAGGCAACTTAATCTCTATGTTTTTCAGTACATTGCTCTAGCCCCACTCCCAACTAGTATAAGGTGTACAGACCTTTTTTCACCCATGCCACATCTTTCACCACCTCTGTGTGCCCAGCAATTGTCATGATGGATTTGCCGTCTATAGACCAGATGCGAGAAGTCTGGTCATAAGAGCCAGTCAAGATCCTAAGGGATACAGACATTGAAACATTTTTTTAAAACCAATGGTGCTTCATGAAACATCTTTTCAATGAGAAACTTAGAATATTAGCATGATAACCACTTGAGAGACCTGACTAAAGAAAATCTCTTAGGTAAATCTTAGTTTTCTTTAAAATAAAATTCACAAATTAATTTGTTTGCAAAAACTAGATCAAATATGGATTTTAATAGGTTCAAAGCAAAGGTTAGGGAATGAATAAACTGTGGACTTCTTGGTGAGGTGCACAGAAGAAATGAAACAAAGATGAAGTGAGAATATTGATAGTTTTGGAAAATTAAATGCTGAAGTTTTCTGTATACAGCCCTGAGAGGATACAAATGTTTACCTGTGGATAGACATTGGTATGCACTGATCCGCAGGACTTTACTCCCAAGAGACACTACTGCCAATGGAGAGGAGAGAGGTCCCTTTGCTCCCAGGAGCCAGCGCCCCGAACCAACAGCTCTTTGAACTGTACAACCCCCTACAGGAGATGCTGAGGGCAGAGGGAAGTACAGCAGCACAGCTGGGAGGAGCTGCCAGCACAGGGCTCCTCTCCATTGCCCACAGTGTCTCTTGGGAGTAGAGCCTTGAGGATCAGCAGATACCGATGTCTACCACAGACAGACATTTGTAGCCACACAGGGCTCTACTCATGTCTAATTTAAGACCAACCAAAGAAAATTCATTATTCTTTACACTGACCATCTAGTCCGTAAATAGCAAAACATTTTTTCAAGACATTAATAAATGTGGGAGTTTCAGTATAATAATAAAGGCAAAGGGTTTTGAAACTCTAGTTATAAACTAGAATTAATATTTCAAGTAAAAAAAATGTTGAAATGTTAATGTGAAGACAAGCGGTTGTTCTTGTATTAAAGACGACAGTACTGATGAGCAGCACTGACTATTAACTCAGATCAGGAGCAAATCTCATCCTTTTACACATGGTAGCCTTCCTACTTGGGTTAAAGTTATTGTCAAGATAGCATGGAGGAGCTCAAACTTCAGCTACTTTCCCAGGCACATGGCCTGTATGTATGTATATCAACTGATATAAACAGGTTAAAAATTTAGAGAGAGAAATAAGGAATAGGAAGAAAACTGTTACAGAGATCTATGGAATCAGCGGGAGAAACCAAGATGGAAACTTAATCCTGGCTTTAATGGAGCTGCAATACCATTCTTCTGTAGCTTCAATAGAACTGATCCAGTCATCATGGAACATACATTCCTCAGGTTGAGGTGCTGTGTACTTTTCCACATATTCTATTTCCACCACTTCTTCCTAAACAGTCAGAAATACAAGAAGCTGGTCAGCATGGTTTGTTTTTAATCACTATGGTCTAGTACAGCATTTCCCAACCACTCTGAGCAGTAGTATCAATTTGCAAGACAAAGATATCAGCTGTTCAAACCAGAGTCCCCTGCCTACCATGTGACTGTATGCACTCTACTGTGCCTTGGAGATCAAACTGCTATTGCAAATGGGGATTCAGGTAGCCCTAATTCCTTGACAGGCAAGCATATGTTTGACTGAACAGAAGGTAAATGGAACCAATGCATCAGAACTCAGCACAAACATTCATAACTAAGGACCCAATGCTGCACACGCTTAAGAATGAGTTATTTTACTTAAGTGAGCAGTCCTACCGAAGTCAGTGGCCCTGCTCACATGATTCAAGCCACACACATGCTTATGTGTATGCAGGATTGGAGAATGAGAGATAAGTATATCACTATGGATCAACACTACCTGTTGGCTTATCAAATTGCTGCTAATACAGTATTTACATGTAGGTTTCCACCATAAGAAAATGTTGTTCCTTTTCTTTTCTGGATTTTCCCCGCTATGGTATTATACTTAGCAGTGGAGTATCTCTAATACTTCATCTCATTTGACTCACATAGGGCCACTGATTACATACTAGCAGAGCAGGAGACAAAAGTACATTGATGGGGCATACAATGAGACCAGTTTCCCTCCAAAGTTGTCTGGTTTCATACAACAGGAGAAGGAAGTGCCTCAAGTTGCTCAATAGCAAACTCTAGTCATATTCAGGCTCCAGAGCAAGTCTTGATGAGTCCCACATGGAGTAAAGAATAATTCAGGGTCTTCAGAAAACAATAAAGGAAATTATGTGGGCTTCATCTGAAAGGCAAAGGAATGCTAAGGAAGAAAAATATATAGAGTATTCACAATATGGAGAACTTTCCTAATCAGAACTGTAAGCCAGATCAAACTTAAAATCAGAATCTGATTAAATTGTCTAGGATCTTTAAAACCCATCATCCTACAGTGCAGTCCACATAAAGTTCATATAACTTACTGTTGAGATGTTTTCCACTTCCATGTGTTTGACCAGTGACATACGCAAGAACTGGCCCTTGACAAGGAAATCAAACTCCACATATTTGTGGACCTCTAAGACAAACAAGAAAAAATGTTGAAATTTAAAGATTTAATTTACACAATCCAAAAAAAGACAGACTTCCAGAGTCATTTTTAGGGAATAAAGTCAATGGCCACCTTCTTCTCCCAGTTACAATTGTGCCCATGATCTGAAAGGGATTGCACAGGTTTAATTGAGGGATGCCTTGGGGAAAACAGCACTTAAAAGTTTCTATTAGTAGCATCTCTGGAACCAGGACTCAAGGCTTTTAGGGGGGCTACCTCTTCAATTTTGGTTGCAATTTGAGATGTTAAGAACAACTTTCGAAGTCATAGGTGGGAACCCAATTATACCTCCATCTCTGCTGCAGCATCTCTGTTGTTGGTTAACCAAAGTCCAGATGCCAATCTTTGGAACCTGTCTCCCCTGACCGCTTGTCGGGGGCGTTTCAGATCACATTGCAAGGTTTTAGTCAGCTGAAGTTAAAGTTTTATTTCTATTTCTCTTTACCCCTTTCCCTTTAGATGGATAATCATCTAAACAAAATTATTTTTGTTGTTAGTACTACAACACTGTCTAGAGGGCCCAATCAAAGATCAGGTTTCCAATGTGATAAGTAATACCCAAACAGAATGGGGGGACTGGATCAGTCCTTTCCTCAAAAAGCTTACAATCTAAGTATGCAGGAAGACAAAGGCTAGGTGAGACAAAGTGAGAACAACAATGCAACAGTAAGATTGTTTTTATTTTTAGGATACACCTATTGTGTCAATGAAGGGTTTTACACTCTTGATTTCCCCCTATCCTGCATACAATCAGTCCTGTGCAAGCTGACCCATACTTGTGTATGGTTCTACGAATTTCAATCAAACTCTGGTTTAGTCTACATTTAAAAGTTATATCACCATAGCTATATGTGAAAAAACACCATGGTGCTATGAAAAAACCCACATCCTTCTGTTAACGTAACTAAAGGTATTCGGGGGAAGGGAAGTTCCTACACTGACAAAAACTTTCTCTTGGTGTAGAAAGCTATGTCTACATTAGGAAGCTACGCCAGCATAGCTTTGCCAACATAACCACTATACAGTACCCACACAAATCTTTCCATCATCTGCATGAATCTGAGTGCAAATCAAGAGCTATATTTGTAATAATCATGCACAATGCCTAAAAACTTACAGACACTATAACACAAGTAATAACTTCTAAAGGAGGCAAGATCCTCTATAAAAATTTGAAAGGAGAATTTATCCCAACTGACAATTGTTTTTCCAACCAAGGGATCTTAATGAATCTTACATATGTGCTTTGCTGCACTCATGTTCGTAAGTCTTTGCAGGAATGTGATCTTTGTATTTTAAACCTCTATGTTTTACATATTTATGAAAAGATTCTAAATACTTTAGCATGTTTCTGGGGTTTTTTTAAACAGTACTCCTTTTCCTAAAACAGGTAAATCACCTTCCAAACACATACCATGTTTAGCTTCCAGCAATTTATTGATGATGTTACTGAGGTCAGTGATTTCGGAGGCTGCTGGGATAGAGAATGGAACATCATCTACTACATACCTAGAGGGAAGAAAATGGGAATTGACTTATTCATAAGTGCTGAAACTCACAGCTCAACAGATACAAAATAGGCAAATTATATAAAACTCTGTGGTACAGCTTTTTTCACAAGTGAGGGGATTAAACACTTTTCCGAAAGATCCCTTATCCCGCTTAAAATGAATCTGAGTGCAGGGAAAATGAGGGATAAAGGATCTTTCGGAAAAGGCTTTATTTTCCGAAAGCTACGTTTAGACTGGCGCTTTTTTCCGGCAAAGCTCCGAGCCGGAAAAAAGCGGCAGCCCTGTTTATGCTAATGAAGCGAGGGGGGATTTAAATCCCCGCTTCAATTGCAATTGCGATATGTCTAATTTGCATCCCTTTTATGTAAAAGGGATGCAGTCTAGACACAGCCTTGCAGTTTGAATTGACACATACTTTATTCACACTTGTTTCAAGAATCCTGCTTGTACTAAGGATGTAAAATCCCATTTAATTGGTTAAACAGTTAAATGCAGTGCCGGCACAACATTTAACCAAGTAAAAGAGGTGGGGGGGGGAGTCCACCACTCGCTGGGTTTGGGCCAGAGCACCCTCACCCCACAGGCAGGGACTGTTCCAGCTCAGCTGCTCACAACCCCTGCTGGGAGCTGCCACCACTCCCCCTACTCCCTCTTCAGGAAACTACCACTGCAGCTGCCCGTAATCCCCCTGCAGAAAACTGCCACTGCAGCTGCCTGTGCCAGCTTCCACAAGTTCTAGGAGTTGGCAGCCCTGTGCAGCAGGAGTGACAGGGATGGAGCAGCCCTCTGCCTGTGATGGGCTGCAGGTACGTGGGCTGCTCCCAAGTACTGGTTAACTCAGGGTTGGGCAATAATTTTTTGCCAAGGAATGGGGGAGGGGCAGGGATACTTCTAGGTTCCCTACCCCCAGACCATGATTGGGAGCATCTTGCTCACCCCCACCTCTTTCGCCCTAAGTACCCGTGCCCCTGGCTGGGAGGAGACTTCCCATGCTCCCCTGGGCTTGGGGGCGGAGAGCATGAGAAGTTTCCTCTGCTCTGTCCCCGCCCTGCATTACGCTTAAAAGAGCCATGGCTCCTGGCAGGGTGAGAGGAGGCTTCGTGCATTCCCCCACTCCCAGGCCAATAAGGGCCCGATGGCAGGGGAGTGCATGAAGTCTTCTCCCGCCCTGCCAGGAGCATACCGCATGTCTAAGTGCCACATGCTCCTCACAGGGCAGGGCCAGGGCGGAGGTAACTTCTCACGCTCCCTTACCCCCAACCCCTGATAGGCATGGGGTTGGGGGAGCACACAAAGCCTCCTTCCACCCCGCCAGGGCGGGGACAGAGCAGAGGAAACTTCAAATGCTCCCCTCCATCCCTAGGCCCTGACTGGCCTGGGGGCACGCACGCAGCCGGGCTGGATCCACCCACATAGCCAGCCGGATCCAGGCCACGGAGGCCCTTTTGCCAACTCCTGGGTTAACTGTTACCCAGTAAGCATCATCCATTAAGCATCATCCCCTTTGGCAAGATTTTCTGAAGTTCAAAACACGTACAGCCAAGCAAGAACCAAATCACTTTTTTTGCAGCTTTCTCTCTAATAGTAGCAAAAACAATAGCTTTGGAGCACTCATTCTATAGTATCTCCAAATTAATCTATAAACTTCAAGCAAAATCTAACTAGCAGAAATGCCAGTGGGACTGGGAAAGTACAGAAAATGAGCAAATATTAAAAGTAGGAATGTGAATGGATAAACGCTCTTACAAGCTGATTACCAGGTAAGGGTTAACCAGTACCTAGGGCCAGCCCTGGCCAGCTCCTAGTCCAGGAGCCCCTTGGAAGGCTTGCTTAGGCCTTGAAGCAGCAGTAGGGGGAATGGAAGGGGCTGCCAGCTTCCAGCCTGTGCAGGCTCGCAGGGAGCCAGCAGCCCAGTGCAGAGCCAGAACCAGCTGGACTGGAGCAACCCCTGCTTGTGGCAGCAGCTCCAACCCACCCACCCCCATTTAATCAGTTAACTGTTAAACATTGTTCAACCGGTTAACTAATTAAACAGGATTTTACGTCCCTAATTAAAATTATTGCTAAAGTCCCACACCTTATAGCCACGCCTTTGCCCAGGCTTAAGAGTATGACCCTGATCTTGTTCCCCCTACAAGCAGAGAGGATGCCTCTGACTAGAAGATTCATAGACTTTAAGATCAGAAGAGACCATTATGATCATCTAGTCTGACCCTCTGCACAATGCAGGCCACAGAATCTCACCCACCCCCTCCTAAAATAATCCTCTCACCTATATCTCAGATATTGAAGTCCTCAAATGGTTTAAGGATCCCAAGATGCAGAGAATCCTCCAGCAAGTGATCCGTGCCCCATGCTATAGAGGAAGGCGAAAAACCTCCAGGACCTCTGCCAATCTACCCTGGAGGAAAATTCCTTCCCGGCCCCAAATATGGCAATCAGCTGAAGCCTGAACATGTAAGCAAGACTCACCAGCCAGACACCCAGGAAAAAGTTCTCTATAGTAACTCCTATCATCCCACCATTGGCCTATTTAGCACTGATAGTAAAAGGTCAATTAGATGCCAAGATCATGTTACCCCATCAAACCATCCCCTTCATAAACCCATCTAGCTTAATCTTGAAGCCAGATAGGTCTTTAGCCCCCACTACTTCCCTTAAAAGGTTATTCCAGAACTTCACTCCTCTAATGGCTAGAAACCTTCATCTAATTTCGAGTCTAAACTTCCTAATAGCCAGTTTATATCCATTTGTTCTTGTGTCCACATTGGTATTAAGTTTAAATAATTCCTCTCCCTCCCTGGTATTTATCCAATATATTTAAAGAGAGCAATCATGTCTCCCCTCAGCCTTCTTTTGGTTAATGTAAACAAGCCAAGCTCCTTGAGTCTCCTTTCATAAGACAGGTTTTCCATTCCTCGGATCATCCTTGTGGCCCTTCTTTGTACCTGTTCCAGTTTGAATTCATCCTTCTTAAACATGGGAAATCAGAACTGCACATAGTAATCCAAATGAGGCCTCACCAATGCCTCGTATAACAGCACTAACACCTCCTTATTTCTACTGGAAATACCTCTCCTAATGCATCCCAACACCATATTAGCCTTTTTCATGGCCATGTCACAATGGCGGCTCAGTCATCGTGTGATCAACCAGGACTCCAAGGTCCTTCTGTTCTTCCGTTACTTCCAACTGATGTGTCCCCAGCTTATAACTAAAATTCCTGTTATTAATCCCTAAATGCATAACCTTACACTTCTCACTATTAAATTTCATCCTATTGCTATCACTCCAATTTACAAGATCATCCAGATCTTCCTGTATGAGATCCCTATCCTTTTCTGAATTGGCAATATCTCCCAATGTTGTGTCATCCGCAAACTTTATTAGTACACTCTCACTTTCGGTGCCGAGGTCAGTAATAAAAAGATTAAATAAAATTGGTCCCAAGACTGATCCCTGAGCAACTCCCGCTAGTATCCTCCCTCCAACCTGACAGTTCACCTTTCAGTATGACCCGCTGTCGTCTCCCCTTTAACCAGTTACTTATCCACCTCTCAATTTTCATATTGATCCCCATCTTTTCCAATTTAACCAGTAATTCCCCATGTGGTACTGTATCAAATGCCTTACTGAAATCGAGGTAGATTCGATCCACTGCATTTCCTTTATCTAACAAATCTGTTACTTTCTCAAAGAAGGAGATCAGGTTGGTTTGGCATGATCTACCTTTTGTAAAACCATGTTGTAATTTGTCCCAATTGCCATTAACCTCAATGTCCCTAATTACTTCCTCCTTCAAAATTTTTTCCAAGTCCTTGCATACTACAGATGTCAAACTAACAGGCCTGTAGTTACCCGGGTCACTATTTTTTCCCTTTCTTAAAAATAGGAACTATATTAGCAATTCTCCAGTCAAATGGTACAACCCCTGAGTTTCTTGGATGAAGATTATCTGGGTCCCCTGATTTACTCCCATTAAGCTGTTCGAGTTTGGCTTTTACCTTGGATATGGTAATATCTACCTCCATATCCTTATTCCCATTTGTTATGTTGCCATTATCCCTAAGCTCTTCATTAGTCTCATTAAAGACTGAAGCAAAGTATTTGTTTAGATATTGGACCATGCCTAGATTATCCTTAACCTCCACTCCATCCTCAGTGATTAGCGGTCCCACTTTTTTGTTTTGTTTTTCCTATTTATATTGCTATAAAACCTTTTACTATTGGTTTTAATTCCCTTTGCAAAGTCCAAAGCTACATGACTTTTAGCCTCTCACTTTGTCCCTACCTGCTCTAACCTCAATAAGGTAGCTTTCTTTGCTGGTCCTTTCCATCTTCCACTCCTTATATGCTTTCTGCTTTTTCTTAATCACCTCTCTGAGATACTTGCTCATCCAGCTTGGTCTAACACACCTGTCTATAATTTTTTTTCCCCTTTCTTGGGATACAGGCTTCTGACAGCTTCTGCAACTTTAACTTAAAATAATCCTAAAGGCAAAATGAGGCCCATTGGGTAAAAGTCGTGACTATAGAGCCTAGGGGGACACTCACGGATAGTTTCAGTTCACTGGGCAGAGGTTATGGGGGAAATGCTGCTTGACAGGAGAGACGAAACAAACGAACTCTCTCCTCCCTAGCTGTCCAACCCTACACAGCACCACCGGCAGCCGCAGCTTCCCGTCTAGCTGCGCTGCCCCTCACATCTCCCCCGGCGGCGGCCTGCCCCGGCCAGAGCGCAGGAGACTGTCAGCGCCAGGCAGCACCGCCCCTCCCCCCACTCACTTGCGGTTGCCGGTGAAGAACCGAGCCTGGAGCTGGGCCATGGTGACCGGGCGGGCGAGGCTGGCGGGGCCGCGCGCGTGTCCGTGCCGGACTGAGGACTCGCGCGTGGGTTACGGATGCCGGCGCGGCGCACCTCACAGGCGACAGAGCCCAGAGAACACGTGTCTCGGAGCTGCCGTCACTCTGCCGGCGCGGCCGCGCAGATCGAATACTCCGCCAGCGATTAGTAGAGGCTGCTCTTAAAGGAGACGGCTCCCGGAATCCCTTGTCAAGCCACGCCTCACCGGTTCCCGCGTAGGTGGCCGAGTGAGAACCGGGGCTACTCTCTTTATCTCCCTCGCGCCTCGCACCCACGGTGCAACCTCTGAGGTTCAAATGCAGAGACCCCAATCTTCTGTCATGGCAGGCTCCATGGAAACTACCGCTCTCAGCATCCAGTACGGCCCATGGGGGGGGAGGGGACGGGTGGTCAATGGCGGTGAAGGAGCCTGGAGACTACACATTCCAGCATGCAGAGCGCGGACGACCACAACTCCCAACATGCCATGCACCGCCTCCTAGCTGGAGAGCGGCTTCTTTCTCCGGGCAACCTGTTTGCCAGGGTTCTCTCCGCGAGCCTCAGTAAAGGCGTTAGGGTGCCAGTATTTCCGGGTTGTACGGTGGCCCGCGGGGGTCCCGCGACGCGGCACGGACTGCGTTGCTGCGCCTGCGCTGTATGGCCGTCTCCATGGTGGTGCCTGGAAGAGCCAAGACGAGGTTGAGTAGACTCGTTCTGAATTTTCCCTCCGCTTCCCCGACTCCCCTGCAGGGTTCGCGCAGCCGAGGCGGGAGGAGCCGCGCCCAGGCTGTCCTCCCCTCCCCTCCCCTCCCCTCTCCTCTCCCGGCCCT